TCTCTCTCTCTCTCTCTCTCTCTCTCTCTCTCTCTTTTTCTCTACTTATATAAACTGCTGTCAGATTAATACTGTACGCTGCAAACAAATAGATTTTCCAGCATTTATGATCGCTTTATACAGATTTCAGCTATTTCAATACAAGGATTTATGCATCCTGTATTTTGATGTACTTTCACCTCTACGCATTCCCATAACTTTCTCTCAAATTCATGACAAAATTACAAAATGCTTATGTAGTAGGATTGAATCAGCTTATTATTGTCCAATAACTACAATTTATGCGATATGTCGTGTAATTTTCAAACGACAGAGTTATTCAATTTTTTCTTCTTTATTCTCTTTAACCATATACCACAAGTCCACATATATCAAACAGGTATTAGAGATTTTTTAGAAATACGCAAAATACTTCATTATATTACCATAATTAAAAATTAAACTAAACTAATTTCAACGCTATTGGTTCAGCTCCAATAAAATATATCTCGGGACTACCAATATGTCTTACGTATTCAAGTCGACTTAGACGTTAATTCCCATAATCGCACCGAGTTCCGCGATCTAATTTCAAGAACCGATCGTCGTCCTAGCCGTCCTTTCCAAAGTCCCAAGACATAGAAATTCTTATCGAACGTAGACCGATCCTGAGCACTAACGACATCAACGAGACACACCCGTACAACTCTACATCCACAGTGCACCATTCGTCGTCCGCGTATCCGAGACCGGCGATACGAAGAGTTTAATCCGCTGTATCTTCCTCCTCTCCCAAGCTAATAGATCCATCCCGACATTAAGATCTCAATTCCATATTAGCACTCGCAATTGGAATTCTCGCAAAGTATCGTCCCATACGTGCCCCTCGGTAATATAAGCCAGTAAAAAATAAAAAATAAAAAAAATATGGGGGATAACATGGGGTGCTGCGATATAATTAAGGATGGATAAGCCCTCTGTGCAAGGTCTCTGTTAAAATTCTGGCAAATAAAAGCGGCGCAGCCCCCCCCCAACCTCTCCCCCCTATCTAACCACCTCCTCCCCCATTCACTACCAATCCGCCCACCTATTGATGTCACTATTAAAGCTTGACAGGCACCTGCGCTCCACAGCCCGCAAGCAAAGTAAATAAATAATATAATAAATCTACCCACCCAGCCTACCTCGACTATTTTTCTTCCGGCCTCACCTTCGGTACCCCCCCCCCCCCCCCCCCTTCA